TCAAAAACTACAAGTGGTACAGGTACCAAAAGGTATAGCAATCATTTGGCACAGGACCTTTACTGATAGAAATTACAATGGCAGCTCTAGGACAAAGTATGCAGGGGGAGAAGCATGGCAAAGTTGAGATGACTTGGATGGGAAACAAATCACAATAGTGTGCATTGCATTGGCAATGCACACTGATTACCTTCCAAGATATTATCTTGTTTTCATGAGAAGAGGAATAGTTAATTGGTGGGTTCATATATATTGATAATACTAAATATATGTTTATAATGTTCTTAAATATATCAAAACAATAATCTTTTTATCTAAAGAATTCAAGATTTCAATCAATTGTCCTCCTTTGAAATAACAAAAGAAAACAAGGCCAAACTTTAGATCAATCAATGTCAATCAAATTTGTTTGTTCCTAACTTTAAACCTAATGTTTTATTCCACGAGTAGTTTGTTTTAAAGCCTAGTGCAACTGTATTTGTTTTTCTGCTCATGTGACCTACTGTGGAGTCAGATGTCATAGTACCAATCAACACTGTTGTATTTTCATTGACCAGCAGAGTCAAAGGACTGCTTGGGCTAGATTTCATTTCATTTGGGATCAATACCAAATAAAAGAACCTGAGAACCAATTACAAAAGGTGAGATACACTCGCTGCTCTCTGACAGAACAGAAGAGAAAGATAAGGTGGGCCTTTTCCTTTTCATTTCTTGAATCTCTTCTCGCTCTCCACTTTCCTGCACCTCTGGTGGGAGCTGCAACAAATGTAATCTTTTCCAGGGGACAGAGGACAGATCAGACCGTGTCAGCAGCTGAACTAACCCTCTCCTTTTTTTGGGGTGTTGCACAAGTTTTAAACATCTAACAGGCAGCAGCTTACACAACCAGCAGTCTGTTGAGACAGGTGTTTTTGAGTCCTTAACCTTCTCAAGGTTCAGCTCCACTTGTGACGTCATGCATATCACTTACATACATTACCTGCCACTCTTTCAAATGATCGGACTATCAGCATGGACTCTACTGAAGGTCAGTGTTCATACCATACTAGAAAAAGAGGGACCTAGAGTGAATTTTGACACATCTGACTTCAGTAATCACAGGAAAGTTCAGTTAATATGTTGTCTGGAGGGTCAAGGTCTTCAACAGACTTGGAAAGTGAGTGGAACTGTTAAAAAGGTTGGTGTTTGTACCGGTGTCTTCTGGCTCAGAGATACTTAAGCCCAATTGTGGGCCGTGAGCGCCACCTTGAGGGCCTCAAAAGAACAACAGTTTTTAACTTTGGCCCGCAGAGGGCCGTGGGACCGCATTAATT